AAAGTTAAAAGGCACCAATGTTCCTATGACGATGTGAACAATGCTATATCTAAAGTAGTTGATTGGTTTGCTGTTAATAACCTACTTCTTAATGAGAAAAAAACAAATTGTGTGAAATTTACATTACCCAATGTTAGAGAGACGGTTACAAACATTGTAGTTAGAAACGAAAAATTGAATCTTGTGGATACAGTTGTATTTCTAGGTATAACGTTAGATGCTAAATTGCAATGGGGTCCCCATATAAGTAAGTTGTCAAAACGGCTCAGCTCTGCAGTGTACGCGATTAAAAAAATAAGGAAACTTTCAGACGTCGAAACCGCTAGATTGGTTTACTTCAGCTACTTTCACAGTCTAATGACATACGGCATTTTGCTTTGGGGTAATGCCGCCGATATCAATAGAATCTTTGTCCTGCAGAAACGTGCAGTTAGGGCAATTTACAATCTGGGCCCCAAAGTATCTTTGAGAGATAAGTTTAAGGAAATTAACATTCTTACACTAGCCTCACAATACATTTATGAAAATATAATTTATGTTAAAAGGAATAGTAATTTCTTTATGAAAAATAGTGACAGACATAACATTAATACGAGGAATAAAAATAAACTAGCTTTTCTTAATAGTCGTCTTCACAAAGTCAAACAATCATTTAAGGGGCAATGTATACGCTTCTATAACAAGATTCCGGTTGATATACAAAATTTGCCTTTCACGAGGTTTAAAACTATAGTGAAACAAAAACTTTATACTAAAGGTTATTATACAACTTCTGCGTACTTGGATGACAAAAATCCGTGGTAGTAACCCGTTTAGCTCATGGAGGTAGTCTCAATCTGATGTTTCAAATAAAAAATATTGTAAATGTTATTTACAAAGAGCAACCCCTAGAGTTTCTTGCTCATTCTTCTCAGGGGAATCTGCCTTACGAATGAGCGGTAGAGTTTAACCATTGTGACGATTTCAAGTGTAATAATGCTTACCTATGAAATAAAGATTATTTTGAATTTTGAATATTTGAATTTTGAAATTTTATCGAAATAAAATCTATCTAAAATCTCAAAACACATAAACCATTGTACAAGCGAAACATGAAACAGTAAAACAGCAATGTGGACAAAAAGAATGAATACTCATCATTTTATGGTTTTCATTCTTCAGCTTTGCATATTCGCTTGCTGCATCTGACCGGCTAGCGGAGTAATTAAGAGTCTATAAAACCTCAAATGGCTTTGGTTGATTCCGTATGACAATGAAACTGTTGAATCCATTGATTTACAAATAAATGGACGACGGGTCTAATACAAAAACCACGAAAAAAATGTCCCAAGTCAACCTATTTAAACGTAGTGACATGTAAAGTAATATGAAAAAGCTTTTAAATTGTAATGTCATCGCAGTACTGTCTAATTTTGCTTGCTTCGCTGTCAGTCGAACAAACGAAGACTAAAGCGTGAATGACGCTCTGTATACGATTTTAACGCCCTATAAGTTCGGACACTTTTTAGTGCGGACCCGACGTCCATTTATAATTGTAAGTCAATGGTTGAATCAATTACTTTTGAAAAAACATATAGTCAAATAAAGGATATATACACTGATTAGTATACGGTGTGAAAACACGATTCCTAAAAATGGTCACGATAGAAAAAAAACAACAAACTTGCTTTGAAATTTTACAAGAAGGTAAAGAATAGGTAGTTTTTTAAATATTAAGTGAATTAAATAGAACACGTATAGTATACGATATACGTTTTTGAAATACCTTTCGTGTGAAAAAAAAAATTCCAAAAAGCCAGTGTTCCAATTCAGTATGGGGAAAATTGAATTCGAGATGAGATAGTATAGACTCATAACACCAAATAATTATACAGAGGCTGCGTTGCACTTTATGTAATAATTGTAAAAATTCATTGGCTGGCACCCACGCCTTTTTTTACATTGTACACGGTGTTCCTAACTTTAGTGACTGTTGAAGCGAAGATTTTAGTTTTATGCGCCTGACGTCTTTTGAATAGCAAACAAACACAAGGCAACTTTAAATATCTTTTAATTGTAATTTTTAAGTTCATTGAATGTCACGGTGTTTGACCTCCATGATATTTAATTATTTTTGTGAAATTACTCCACTAGTTTGTTAAATTCTTAATACAAAGATCGAACACTAAAAAAATTGATGACGCGTGATGCGAATGAAGCTTCATACTGGATACTTGTCTTTTAATTTGGTCGAATATTACTTATTTGACAGTAATTGTTTCGGACGGATATCGGACGGAGATCGAGAGTAGACCCCCAGACGCTGTGCCAACTAAGCTTAGCTTAGTCTGGCACGGTTTGCTGGAAGACGT